AATTAAAAGAATAACTACAGAGGTGCCTGGCTGACTCAGTGGGTGGAGCATGTGACTCATGATCTTGGTGGTGTAAGTTTGAGCCCCAGGTTGGGTGTAGAGATTATTTAAAAAAATAAAATCTTAAAAAAAATTAAAAAGAACAACTAGAAAGAAAACCAACAAAGGAAACAGAACACTTTAATTAACACTACAAACCAACTGGACCCAAAAGATATCTACAGAACACTCTACCTAACAGCAGCACAATACATATTTTTCTCAGGACTACCAGGAACATTCTCCAGAATAGATGAATAAAAGAAGCCTCAACAAACTTAATAATATGAAAATCAGACAAAGTATGTTCTCTGCAATGAGATAAGACATAAGTAACAGAATGTTACTGAATGTAATAAGACATAAGTGACAGAGACTAGAAAAATCCACAAATATGAGGAAGTTAAACAACACACTCTTAAATAATCAACAGATCAAAGAAAAGGGAAATTAGAAAATACCTTGAGATGAATGAAAATGAAAACACAACATGCTGAAAACTTACGGGATTCAGTTAAACCCAATGCTTAGAGGAAAACATTTAGCATAAATACCAATATATATAAAAAAAAAACTCAGTAATAACCTAAACTTCCACATTAAGAAAGTACAAAAAGTGGAGAAAATTAAATCAAAATAAGCAGAAGGAAGTAAAGATTAGAGCAGAAATAGGTGAAATAATACCTATTTCACCTAAATAATAGGTGAAATAATACCTATTTCACCTAAAACAATACACAGATTCCCATTCATCTGTCTATTGCCTATGGCTACTTCCAGGCTACAACAGTAGAGCTGAGTAACTGGAACAGAGACCATACAACTCCACAAAGTCTAAAATATGTTCTATTTAACACTTTTAATAAAAAGTTTGGAGGACTTCTGGTTTCAGCTCCAACATGTAAAGAGCTTGGAAGTCATCACTCCCATCTTTAAAACAAGACAAAAGGTGAACAAACTGAAAACAAATGCCTTTTCTTAGACCCATCAGAGAATTAAAATCACAGGACAAACTGTCACCCAGAAATCTGAAGACAGCCAAACACAGAGAAGCACACTGAGATCAGCTTACCTGGAGCAAAAGATGCTGGAGTCTTCAACTGCTATGAATACTTCAGTGATAAACTTGACAAATGGCTGTAGGCTGAGTGTGATTGAGAAACTCCTTGGGGGACCCAATCTTAGGGGAACCTGAACATTCTTATGAATTTTATGTCAAGGATTCCCACCAGATTCTCAGGGTAATGACCCCCCTAAATACCTGCCCATTTCAGTCACAGGGAGGGATTAAGTAACCATTTTGAAATACACCCAAAGCATTCTTTGTAGTAAAGGCCAATGCTCCAAGTAAAATGATTTTACTATACCCTTATATGACCTAGGGAAGGGCATTCAGCCAAGTCCAGCCCCTCCCTTATTTAACCTAAGAGGAAGAAAAGCAAAAAACTAAGGAGCATTTCTGAAAGTCACAGCCCAAGGACTCAGGTCCATTAAAAGGCTGAAAGTCGTACATAAAATTACGGAACAATTCCTCTCCCACAACAACTTAGCACCACATCAACAGCTCTAGTATAATAATAGTGGATTATAACTGAGAGAGTGGGAAGACACAGATTCTTTTTAAAAGGGATTGCTTAGGGAAACCTAAGACAACAGGGGAGAAAAAAATAAAAGTACACCCGAGGAAACTGAATCCTGTGGCACCTACAGCTGTAACATGACATACAGCCCAGCTCCTAACCACGTTAACATAAAACCTCTTACTTAAGGCCTATATCCCTCTGTTTCAATTATCCCATAGATCATGTCCAGTTTTCAACAAAAAATTACAATGGCATGCTAAAAGGAAAGAAAATCAACAACAACAACAAAAAACCTAGAATTTGAAGTGACAAAGCTAACACCAGAACCCGATTTGGTAGGGGGTGAGGAAAATGTTTTGGATTACATATTGGTGATGGTTGTATGACCTTGTAACTATACTAAAAACAACTAAATTTTACACTTTAAAAGGGTGAACTTTATGGTATTTGATACTCTGTTAAAAACGGTTTTTAAAAAGCCTTACATGATTTATAACTTTTTCCAAAACAAAAGTTTTCCTAACCTATCTACACCCACCCAATTTGTGAAAATAACATTGTAGAATAAAATAAATCTACTGAAATTATAATCACTGAATGGTAAATTTTAAGAGTTATGATCTTCTTTGCATAATTATTTGCTATCCATAACACTAACATTAAAAGAGCAAATATATTTTCTTTTCTCCATTCAATAAATATATACTTAATGTCTGCCTCATATAAGAAACTGTACTATGTTGCTGGGATACAAAAATGAAGTTGACAATGCCATACAACAAGGCAACATATGAAAAGCAAAGACTACACAGGGCACAATGGAGTTAAGTTTAAGAATATAGGAGAGCATTTCCAGCTGGGTGATCAAAGGCTTCAGAGTAGAGGCAGCACTTTAACTGGGCCTTTATTTATTTATTTAACAAATGTTGAAGGGCTTATTATATTCAGGTAATATGCCAGGTGCTAGGAAAACAAAATTAAAAATGAAATGGATTCTCTCATTGATGTGTATGTACAAATATGTGTGCTTATTTACATATGTATGGATAACTAAACCAAGTATAAAGTAAGGGGAGCACTCTTGAAGAATAAGTGGATGTCAACAAAGAAGCATAAACCCCTTCAATGGCTCCCTACAGCCTTTCAGAGAAATTTCAACTACAAATATATGGCCTCAAGTTTCCTCATGAATAAGCCTCTGATTAGATTCCTATGTGACTTCCTCCACTACTTTATTACATCTACACTCTGTATTGGCTGTTCTGTCCTCTCGTATTTTCCCCATCCTTCTAGCCATTCATTTAAGTACTAATTGAGAGACCCACTACACACAAGGCAAGGTACAGGGATACTGCACCACACAGAATAAACAGGGTTCTAGCCCTTGGGAAGTTGATATTCTGTAGAAAGGTAAAGATATTGAACTAATAAGACAACTGTTAATTACATTTGACATATGCAACAGGAAAAAAAGATACAAGAGTATATGAATATACAATGAATATAAAATGAATGAATATAAAAATACTCTGAGGTACTTGATTTCATATTTAGTGAGTAGCAAATATTCTGCATTCCTTGGTAAAAACATATGTGACAGAGGATGAAAGATAAACCCTTAAAACAGCCATCACAGTGAAGTTGCTAAGAATTCAGCCATATGGGGCATGTCACAATATTTCTAACAAAGTGAAGTCCAAGTTGCTTCATCTTGTACACTCCGCCACTGAGAAAGAGGCACATGGGTCACTTTGGATTCAGAAGGCAACATATCCTCTATTTGAATGTTCTAGTTTGAGTAATTTACTTAGTAACTCATAGTTTTGAATGGATCCCAGAGCTTCCAGGCAAGCTGATCTTGGGCCATGACCCAGAAGACCCAATGGTAGGGGGAAAAAATCATGGCAATACCCTTAGAGTTTGAGGGGAAAAGCCTATTCCTCTTCTACTGATGAAGATTATCTTTTTGAGAAAGTTTGAGGCTTGCTACCGGGCTCCCGAGACTAAATACCTGACCCATGGGATACCAGATAACCATGCAACATGAGCTGTCCGTGGTGAGATGCCCAATGTAGTGCAATAAAAAACACAAAGGATACAGAAAGGAATAAAAACTGGAGCTAGGCAATCATGCTCATAGTTGACATTCAGGTAACAGCAAGACTGAATCTGAAATCACTTTACAAACACTGTCAGGTCAGTGAAAGTTATTAGTTTGGCCTTCTTTCAATTCCCAAGACATGCTATGTAGGCTCTTCTTAGATCCTTCACACACATTGTTTTCACTGCTGGTGAGGCTCTTTCCCAGCTTTTCAGAGGGCTGGTCCCTTCTCATCTTTCATGTCTCAGCTTAAATGTCACCACCCAGAACAGACTTCCCTGACCACACTGTCTAAAGCTCTGCCCTTACCCCCACACTGTTATCATCTATCACATACTTTCCTTTTCCCTTTTGTGCCATGTGTTACAATTTGCTGTTATATATTTGTCTATTTATATGAATACTGTGTATCTCTTCCATCAGACTGTAAGTCCCACAAGAAGGCAAGAATAATATCTGCTTTTCTCACCATTGTATACCCAACAGTCGGCACAATGTCTTATACACCACAACACTAAAATTTGTGGAATAAATAAGTACAACTGCTTGGACTCTCATCCTCTCAGGAATGCTATTTGGCCTTCTCCTTCTATAAACCCAGTATTCCATCTTTTGCACCATCCTTCTTGCACACCGATGGTGATTTGGGAGACCTACCATCGAAATTAAAGTGCATAAAGTCAAAAGAAATTGGGGAGTTACTCTTTGGCATTTTCTTAAACCTTAGACTATGGGACTCTACTTCTCTATAAATGCTATACTGCAAGTTAGAGCATAATTCAATATTTAACAAAGAACGCTCAGCACTCCCTATGGGTGATTTTGACCTAATGTTAATTTTGACTACTTTCAGCACTGGCTTAAAACATGGAAACAGGAAGAAAAGGAGAAATAAGGTATATTTTTGTGACAAAATTTCTGAGCTGAAAAATTAACTGAAGTGAGATGAAAGAAGGAGAGGTATGGCCTTGTCTTACTTTTAGGCAATTACTGAAGAAGTCTCAGACCCAACCTCTTCTGTAGCCAAAAGGAAACTTTTGCTGACTTTCTAAGTGTTTAGGTATGATTTTTTAACCTAACTCTGTGGTTTTTATTATTGTCATATTTATACTAATAAATAAATAAGCATAAAGCAGAAAAGAGCCCAAAGAATATACTCATAATTGGGAACTTCTTTCATTTCACCATCCAACAGAAGGCATATTACTAAGAAAATTCCTACAACAGTTTGACATCTTCAGTACATGAGAAACATTCATTGCAGCATGGAAACATACCTATCTCCCTTGCTGTTTCCACATCCAGGTCCTGGACTGGCTCTTTTTCTCTGTTTCTCTCTGACATTTTCTTCTGTTCTTTTCTGAAGATTACATCATGCGTCTCCTGGGCCTCTGCAGTAGGAAGGAAGACGAGGGCAAAGCAAAAGGATGACATTTTCAAACTATCAAATGTCAAGAAAAAGAAAATATTGGGTGCCTGGGTGGCTCAGTTGGTTAAACGACTGCCTTCAGCTCAGGTCATGATCCCGGAGTCCTGGGATCGAGTCCCGCATCGGGCTTCCTGCTCGGCGAGGAGCCTGCTTCTCCCTCTGACCCTCTCCCCTCTCATGTACTCTCTCTCTCTCTCATTCTCGCTCTCTCAAATAAATAAATCTTTAAAAAAAAAAAAAAGAAAAAGAAAATATCACTTACTCAGCAACAAAAACCTTATTATGCAACTAGTATCTGCACTTCTATATCCTCAGGGATTCTAATATCAGCATTAACTGGTCATTTAAAGTCATCTTCACAGAGGTGCCTAGGTGGTGCAGTCGTTAAGCATCTGCCTTCAGCTCAGGTCATGATCCCAGGGTCCTCGGATCGAGCCCCACATTGGGTTCCCTGCTCTGCAGGAAGCCTGCTTCTCCCACTCCCCCTGCTTGTGTTTCCTCTCTTGCTGTCTCTCTCTGTCTAAATAAATAAAATCTTAAAAAAAAAAATAAAGTCATCTTCACGATTAGCATCCTGATAACATTTACCAACTCTGTCAGGTTAAAAAAAAAAAACTTCATGTTTTAACTAGGGGATTAATTACAATCGCAGTATAATAATTTTCTTTAAAACAGTTAAACAACAGAGTTTCATATTGATAGTATTCAGCTTAGTCTTGGTTTACTGTTGTATTTTAATACTGATTTACTTGAATGAGGCTTTCTTTATCCACAGAAATAATTTTATATAGTGCTTCACAGTTTAAAGACGATATCATATGCATCTTCTCATCTTTATCTCAACAATTAGAATAATGAAGGGCTAGCAGTATCAACTAAGTGTAAGAATAGATGGCATTCGTATTCATGGTTTTGTAACTTTTTAAAAAAATAGTACTTGATTGTCTGTGAAGTTTTGTTTGGGGAAAATAAACCCACACACCAAGGCAAAGGGTATCCCAAAACTCTCCGAAGTTTAATGCACATGTTATTTAAAATTCATTTATTAATTTCTATTCCTTTTCTTGAAGTGGTCTTTAATAAAAACTTCAAAAATGATTACTACTTTTGTTGGCTTTTCTTAAGAATTCATAAAAAGACATTGATATTGTAGCTTTTTGACTAGCATTATTTCCCTATTTGTTAATAAGTTCTTGAATTATAAATTTTATGATAGTGATAAGGCTGAAGTTTGGCATAGTGTATATAGTTACCAATGGTAATATTATCATGAATCATTTAAAACTGAACATTTACTTTTTCTTAGTGATGGAAAGAAGTTGGTTGTTTTTGTAATAACAGCACATGGTAAGAACATGTTTAGTACTATTTACACTCTATTTTATGTAACATTACCATGGGAAATGGACTTCAAATAAATGGAGTAAATAAACAACACATCATAGTGATATAAGTAGAATAATAGTGTGAAGATGGAAACATTGTTAAGTTTCTCCACAGTTTTTCACAAAAGTAATTACTAGGCTTGTCATTAAAATCACCTTGTCTTCTTTCCTACCAAGGCCATCAACATATATGTTAAGTTTTTCATCGTAGAAAGTTTGGAACACCCAGAAGAACATAAAGAAAGTATAGAGATATTAATTATCTCTAGTAATTCTATCATACAGAGATAACTATTAACATTTCAGTTTATATCCTCCTGGTCTATTATATGGATGTATATGTGATTACATTGATATTACATATAATTTATTTTATATGTATATCTATAATTAGGGTTGTCTTGTATGTTGTTTTGGTACTTCTTTTTGTCATTACATATCTACTTTTTCCCCATCATCAAATAGTCTTCTAAAATACGAAAAGCATGACTGGGGGGTGAGGGGTAGATTGTCAAAATATTTTCACAGATACATTAGAGGTCACTAAAAGTCATTTAAAAATCAATACATCTCTAAAAAATGAGTAAGAAACAGTTAACTAACAAACAGATCTATGTTTTTATTAACATATACTTTTAAAAATTCTTAAATTACAAAAATTGTACTTTGTTCTTTGTGTTAGAAAATAAAATTCTCCTATAAATACATCTTCCACTAAGAATTTGGTATATATTCTTCTAGTTTTAATGTGCTTTTAAATGACTAAATAGTATTTCATCTTACAGATTTACTGTAATTTACTAAAGTCCCAACGTTGGGCACTTAAGCTATTTACAATATTTCATTATTTTGCAGATCCCTGAATGTAAATATATTTTGCAGATCCATGAATGTAAATCTTTGAGTCCTTCAACAAATCATGCTAAATTTATCATACTCTATTCTTATATACATATCATAATTAAGTCTCATGAATTTCATTACTGATCTTCTTTGAACCTACTTCCTTATCTGCAAAATTAGGGGGTTAGATCACAGTTCTAATATGCTCCAATTCAAAAAATTTGAGTTGTAAACATAGTAGCTCCTTAATAATTGGGTGAAACCATTTGTGAACTCTTAAAAGAAACATGAGACATATAACTCATGCCTTTCAAATGAGTACAAAGAAGGTGTATGTACATCTAGGTGTGTGTATGTGGGGAGAGCATAAACAGAACCATACAGAGGAATTACCTTTCTGGATCATCAGTTTTACTTCAGGATTTAAGGATAAAGTTTGGGTTTTTTCCCCTGTTAAATATATTTTAAGGTTTTTAAAATCTCACTAATTTTTAACATAAAATAAAAGTCTTTGAAAAAAAATTGTATTTTTGAATATGGTGCCCCCAGAAGTCAGCATTTATTTGCCACTCTTATTAGGAAAGAATGCAACACTTTAAGTGAGGAGGAAGACTTATCAGATGTAACACAAACCATTTGAGAACTGGTATCACATTCTTAAGAGTAACTAGGATACTTGAAGTAATTCTTGGCCTCGGAATCTAAACACACATTCACTCACTTCACTGCCTCGTTTGAGAACTTGTCAAGAGGTTAAGGTTTGTTTGATTTTACTAATTCAAACCTGTCCCATCTTGCTTTTATATAATTTCATGAAACTTCTAGCTCATTTCTTTTAAAACCAGAAGGCCAGGGTCCAGACAGCAGGTCTAACTTTTATCAACATACCTGATGGAAACAAAGGCAGAAGAAAAATTATTAAATTTCCTTCCTACCTATAGCCCATTGACAAGTCCTTAAAACAGGCAGAGTGACATTCCTCTAGGGACTCAACTGCCTCAATAGCAATATTTTGCTAAGGACAAAAGGCAATCCTAGACTGATTGACACACACCCCCCCCCCCCAGGATACTGTAAGTCTACTTTAACATATAAAAATTTCTCTAGAAATTTCCTTTATCTGGGGCATCTGGGTGGCTCAGTCCTTAAGCGTCTGCCTTCGGCTCAGGTCATGATCCCAGAATCCTGGGGTGGAGCCTGGCATCGGGCTCCCTGCTTGGCGGGAAGCCCGCTTCTCCCTCCCCCACTCCCCCGGCTTGCGTTCCCTCTCTTGCTGAGTCTCTCTCTGTCAAATAAGTAAATAAAATCTTTTAAAAATAAAATTTAAAAAAAAAAAAAGAAATTTCCTTTATCTCTGAACCCCCAAGATATGTGCTGGCCATCAACCCCCAAGCATATGGCCTACCCATATACATCTGAAGGGTGTCACGACTAAAGTTTCATTAGACGTAATAAATGACCTTTTCCCAACAACAGCTAGCCCCCTCAACATGCTGGAAACCATGCTTCCAAAACTCCTTAGAGACTTACCCTATCCTAACCCCCTCCCAACTTGAAAGCATATAACAGGCCACTTTTGACCCCAGTGCAGCTCCTTGTGCACATGGGTCCCGTCCCTTTGCTTTAATAAAATCACCTTTTTGCCCCAAACACGTCTCAAGAATTCTATATTGGCCATTGGCCTCAAACCCTAGCGTTCTTTCCTACATCAATACCCACAGGGAGTACTAACCACTGGTTAGAGTTCATTTATATTTCTCATTCAATGCTTTATGAATTTTGCAACCAATGTGTGGTTTTTCCTTTCACAATCATCAACCCTACTTCAAATGCGCCACATTATTTCATATTATACAGACTACGAACTTGCTTTAAAAGAAGTTTTTAAAAGATACAGATCTCAAGGATTAAGTAAAAATAACAACCTAAGGCACCCAGATTTCTCTATCACGGAGGGGTGAAGGGAAATCCGATAGATGGCATTTCAAAATCCAAAGGAACTAGAAAGCTAGCTTTTCTTACAAAAAATATTTGTAGCAAGGTTAATGGCTATTAAGAGCAAACTTCGTCAGGGTCTTGGTTTTCTATAAAATCGCCAAAATTGACACGCAACGTTCAAGGCACACCAAATGATGGACAAAGTGAAATACACTCATAGAAAATCTAAAAAATATTTCTGTGGTCTACTCCCTACATCCTGTTGGCAAATAACTTTCATTTTCCTTTTTCCTCCTTTAATACATTTATTAAACTATTTTTTTTTTTTTTTAGCACGCGGGTACAAAAGGTCACCAACACGGTCCAACTGGACTCACTCAGCTACCAGCGTCTGCGGACCGCGCCATCCCTCCACTTGGAAAAAAGAGGGCGAAGAGGCTCCGCACACGCCGAGAGACTAAAAGCTGAGGAGGACCTGCGCTCTCAGTTAAACTTTCCTGCAGAAGCTCAGGAAAGCTGTTTCCCACAACACTTGAGACTGAGTGGCCGGGAAGAGGGTGGGGGTGGGCTTCACGCCGACTCCGGCTCCGGAGGAGTGACTTTAGAACCCCTCCCTCTTCGGCCCCGAGTGAACTAGAAATTAAAATAAATCGTGTAAAACAGCGACCTCAAGTAACTTTGCAAAGGAATCTGCAGCATCTTCCCGGACGCTTAGAACCTCGGCTGCTACCGAAAAGTCGGGGACCAACCAGGCTGCCTCAGGCCGTGTGGGCGGCGGGCGCCACGCCCCAGCTGCCGGTGGCATGACCCGGAAGTGCTCGGCGGCGGCGGCGGCGGCGGCGGGGATTGCGGGGGTGTGGGGCGCGGGGGCGGGGGCGCGGGCGCGGCCCAACCGGCGCACACGCGCGCGCTCCCCCCGCGGAACTCCCGCCGGCCGCCCGGCGCTCTCCCCGAGGCGCGCCCGAGCCGCCGCGGCCGCCGCCAACATGGCCGAGACGAGCGAGGAGGTGGCCGTGCTGGTGCAGCGGGTGGTGAAGGACATCACCAACGCCTTCAGGAGGAATCCGCACATGTGAGTCGCGCACCGGCGGCGCGGCTGCCTCCGCCGCCTGTGGGGGTCGTCGGGGGCGGGTAGGGGCGGGGCCGAGCTTCGAGCCGACCTCTGGGGGCACGTCCCGGCCCGCGCGCCTCTCGCCGGAGGGGACCGATCGAGGTCCGAGGCCCGACCGTCGTCGATCGCCTCAGGGCCCGCTTTCCGCTACCGGAACGCGCCCGCGGGTGAGTCCCGCGAAGTGACCTCGGAAAATCACAACGGAGCGACTTTTTTCGCTCTCCCTCCCACCCCTTCCCTGGGACTTCACGCAACTCGAAGGACTTCACGCGTGTGTCCCCATCCCACATCCGTGTACGGTACACGGGCACGCACGATGTGGGTCTGTAGATGCTTTGTAAACACAACTCTTTGGAGGTTCATCCCGGACCGGTGGTAAGTGGTGTGTCTTGCGGGGGGCGGGGGGGTGTAGATCACCGATGATCCGATCTTCCGTGGGTCGGTTTACCAGCCAGAGGTAGTTTGAGGCTGCTTTTGACTCCTCACTTGTCCCAAGATTGTGGAGGGACCCCGATGAAACACTGTGCTTTGAAGGTGAACAGAGCATTCTCAAGAGTGCAGCTTCTGTAGGCATAGGATGGGGTCTGGTGTAAAGCCCATGAAACCTTGACACTTTTTAGCATTAGCTGATTCATACTTAAAGGGAACATTTTAACTCTTCTCCTCTCCAGACACGGCCGCTCTAAGTAGGACACCGCAGGACTGACACGCGTCTCGCTCCCTCCTTCCTTTTCATGGTACTTGGAGTACTCCGGGAAGATGCCAGAAGAGACTGTCAATCTTTCTGACACTTGTGCTTTAACAAGTGAAAAAGGAAGCTACTAGAATATCTGTCTACAGTGTACAAAAGAGGAGGGAGAAGCAAGAGTGTTTAATTACCCTTCCTCTCTTCTCCCCCTCCCCAAAGAGAAAGATACACGGAATCCAGTTTTACATTATTTGCAACTTTTTCTAATTGTTCGTGAATGTTTCTTTTAATATTTTATTTTTTAAACTGGAACACATGAATTATGCTCTTTATGCATTTTAAACCGTAGGTACCAAACCTACATCTAAATGAAGTGTTCTTTTCCTTCAAACCGATGCATATAAAAATTAAGAAGCCCTCAGATGTCTTGCTCCCTTGTGGCACCCAATTGGAGACCTGTAATAGTGCCTCATTAAAAGCAAAGCGCGGCTGGCCTCTAAACACACCTGCCACCTCTGACAGTGTCCACTTCCTTTCCCCTCGTGACTGCTGCCTTTTTTTTAAATGAGTGTTTGGAATGATTTCCTGGCAGTAACCATAGTGGATACTGGGTTTTTTAAAGAATGCTTTGATGCCTTGTGTATCAGTGTTTCAGTCCCTTTTTGAGAATGAGAGCTTTAGTGTAAAAGACAGCCTCAAAAAAAAGTTGTATAAGTGAACAGCCTATTTTCTCATCACTGATGATGTTTTCGTGAAGAAATTATAGCAGAGATTAGAAAGAACCCTAATAAGTACAGTAATCATAGTTTCTCTTCTTTGAGGTAGATTGAAAAACACATCAGGGGCACCTGAGTGGCTCAGCCCGTTAAGTGTCTGACTCTTGGTTTCAGCTTAGGTCATTTTCTCAGAGTCCTGAGATCCAGCCCTGCTCCTGCATCAGCTCCCTGCTCAGCAGGCAGTCTCCTTCCCCTCGCTCTCTCTCTTCTGCCCCTCCCCCCATTTTCTCTTTCTCTCTCAAATAAATCTTTAAAAAAAATCAGTGTTTTATATTTGAAGAAACAGATTTGAGTGTTCACTGGCTTGGTGGGTTGAGAGCGCAGTTTGGAACACATCTCAGCTTTTCTGGATCATATTTATTGAAACTCATAAAGGACTTTAATGCCCGCAATCGTATTTTTAATGGTGAAAGCTCACTAATACGCTGTCAGTGCATAATTTAAAATTATTAATAAACATTTGGGTCATTCAAGATTTAAAAGTTTGAAATAAGTTGAGCATTTGAAATAATTTGAAATGATACAGGTCCGAAGAATTTAAATAGCTTAACTCGTTGTTTAATATTAATTTTCAGCCATATTTTAGTATATGTTTCCTATAATAACGATATCTTCGATAATATTACTAGACAGCATCTTTAAAAATGTCTTACAGTTTGGATTTTTTTAAAATTGCCTGAACTTCTTCCCCTAATCTAAGCCCTCTTACTTCCGAAATAAATTGGCTATATTTCTGGCTAAAAGAAAAAAAAAGGCATCGTTTATCTCAAAAGTTAGTTACCTAATTACACTTTCCAGTATTGTAGGAAAAAGTTTTTCATTCTTTACTTTTAGTTTTCCTTTTTTCTTCAAATACAAGATAGACTGTAATTTTATTAGACAATATCTACTCCATTAAACATTGACCTTGTTTCTGTAAAAATGCCTAGCCAGGAGGAGTCGAACATATATTGGTTAAGATGTGCATTTTGTTACTGGTAGATGTGGATAGGTTACCATCTGTCAAACTCATTTTCCTTTTGATCTAGTGAGGTTGATGAGAACACAGGAAAATCAGCTCGCCCAGTGTCTGGCCCTTAGCTGCCACTAGCTAAATATTAGATTTAACCTGAATTTCTGTATTCCTCAGAAAACTATTTTGGCCAACTGCATGATGAATGTGAAGTACTTTATAAATTGAAAAATACCATACAAATTTTTGTATGGTTGACTCTTGGAGAATACCATTGGAAAAACAGCTGAAGGCTTGACCCAGGGACTAGCAATAGCTTAATAAATAGACCTGTGCTAATGTGGAAGACAGCTGCTTACGGTGTAATTAGGGTCATGTCAAAGGTCTCTTGCCCACCAAGTTATTTTTTTATTACTGCTTAAAATATTTATTGAACTCTTACTGTTTATGAGATGTTATAGGTACTATCCTCACAGTATGGAATGGGGAGTATAAAATATAGTTCTTATACTCAAGGCACAGAAATATCTGTGATGGTGGAATTGTCCTGTCTTTGCTGTCTAGTATGGTAGTCACTAGCCATATGTAGCTATTAAATACTTGAAATGGGGCTAATGTGAATGGGGTTTATTTAATGTTAATTAACTTATACATAGTGGCCATATATGCCCAGTGACCACTGTATTGCACAGTGTAGCTCTAGATGCAGACATAAGACCCACCTGCATGAACAGTAAGTTAACTGTACAAAGCAGGTTGTGATAAAGGCTGGACTGGCAGCATGGTGAGCAAGTGCTATGTGAGTGTGTTAGGCGTAGGAGGAAGGCTTTGTATGTCTAGGCCAGGGCCTTTAAGGGAGGCGGGTTTGAGCTGCACATTGAAGCCTGGGTAGGATTTATAGTCTCAGAAAGAGAGCCAGAGACCTCCACATGAAACTGTAAATTAACCCAAAGTAGCAAAATGTGATTGAAAAGATATAGTAGGATGTGAGGGCGATCTGGCTGTGACATCTGTCACCCCATTGATCGCCAGGGTTGATTCGGCTGATCTGGCTGGCTAGGCGGGTGTCCCCTTCCTCCCTCACCGCTCCATGTGCGTCCCTCCCGAAGCTGCGTGCTCAGTCGAAGAGGACAACCTTCCCCGATAGAGGAGGACCGTTCCTCAGTGAAGGGTATATGAGTAGCTGCGCTTCCCTGCTAGAACCTCCAAACAAGCTCTCAAGGTCCATTTGTAGGAGAACGTAAGGTAGTCAAGCTTCCAAGACTCCAGACACATCCAAATGAGGGTCTGCCTTTCTAAAAAAAGAAGAAAAAAAAAAGATATAGTAGAATCAAATTATGGAAGTCCTTGACTGTGTGGCTTAATTTCTTTCATTCCATGTATGTGTTCAACAAAAGGGCATGTGTATTTGACAGATACAATTCTAGTCTCTGGATGTGCAGGTGTAGGAGTGGGGTGAACATATCACACATGATCCCTGGCCCAGTGGAACAAATCACCACACAGAATATGAAAAGAGCCTGAAAGAATAAGAAGGATACTTTGAAGGAATAATAACAGAGGGCCTAATTTATATGAGAAGCTCAAAATAAGTCTTTTAAGGAAATAGCAATTAAAATGGGACCTGAGGGATGGATGAGTTGGCTCAAGGAAAACAGAATTCCTAGGCAGTGCATAGGCCCCAGTGAAAATTTTGGAGTAAGGAGTAGTAAGGAAAAGCACATCTTTACGTTGAATTTGTTTTTTTTTTTGTTTTGTTTTGTTTTAAGATTTTATTTGAGAGAGAGAATGAGAGAGAGAGAGCACATGAGAGGGGGAAGGGTCAGAGGCAGAAGCAGACTCCCGCTGAGCAGGGAGCCTGATGTGGGACTCAATTTCGGGACTCCAGGATCATGACCTGAGCCGAAGGCAGTCGCTTAACCAACTGAGCCACCCAGGCGCCCCTTCACGTTGAATTTGAAGAGTAGGAAACCACAAGTCTTAATTGTCTTCTTACACTTCATTTTTTATCTATTTATTTAAATAATAGCATAGTTGTAAAAATTTGGATTTGGAATCTGGACAGTCCTGGATTTGAATCTTGGCTTGTTGATTAGTAACTGGTAAACTTAGACAAGACTCTTTCTTCATCTTTAAAATGGGTTAAAATTCCTACTTTATAAGATTGTGAAATAAATGAAACACAGAGCACTGCATACAACACTCAATAGACAGTAGCAATTTTTGTAGCTGTTTTTAAAATAAGGCCAGTAATATTTCAACGATACGTGAAGTTAGTACTCTTTAAAATCAAGAAAGCCTATGAGGTTCCTGAAATATCTTAACTTAATCACCAGCAGAGTTTTAATTATCAATATGTAAGGGCCAGTTCCTTTAGATATTTTGCTCACTTTACTTTTTAGTCATTCTGGAAAGAATTCCAGTTTGAAGGAGAAAAAAAATTATTTTTAAAGATTTTATTTATCTGAGAGAGAGAACACGAGCAAGGGGAGGGGCGGAGGGAGGAGAGAGAGAAATCTCAAGGAGACTGTGCACTGAGCACAGAACCCGACTCAAGGCTCTATCTCATGATCCTGAGATCATGACATGAACCAAAATCAAGAGTGGGGATGCTTAACTGACTGAGCCACCCAGGCACCCCCAAAATAACTATTAGACTAAGAAGATTTGTATCATTTCCTGAATCGTTGGGCTGTGTTTTCTGTGTGGTCACTCCGCATTACAGGGTTCAGTTTAGCATTTGGGGACCATTCTTCCCTCCCAAAAGGGAAACTGGGTGATGCTACTTTTGAAAATAATATGTGGGCCTACTCTAATTGATGATGTTTCTGAAATTGCAGACAAGAAAAGCTGTCTAAATATGAGGAACAAAGTCTCAGTGTTATATGAACTTTTCAACTTCATTTGGAAGTCAGTGGATCCCCATTGTGAAGTGAAGCACGCAGAAAGCTGTTCCATGCTATGTACGATCTTTTTAAGTAAATGTGTTGGTTCATTCCATTTTGCTGTTTTTTTGGAACAGCCTTCAAAAGTAACCTAAACAGTGAGCTTTGTGTTATCTGAGAATATTAGAACTTTTTCACCATCCCAAACCTTTCATGTCTTTAGCAGTCCTATGACATTGGTAATGCAGGTAGTTATTTGAGTGTCCTTGTTAAATATCAGGGATCTAAATTGGCAGAAACCTAAAAATATAAAAGACTGTAATTTGATGGTAGCAAAAGAATCAGAAATTTCTCTTGTAACATTATTTCACAAGGAAATAACTGGAGATATATTTGGTATTTATAGCACATTTCTTGCAGCCATTAAAAATATAAAAATTATTAACATAGGAAGATGTTTAATATGAATTGTTAAGTTTTAAAAAAGGACTGTAGGATTGTAGCAACGTGGATGGAACTAGAGTATATTATGCTAAGTGAAATAAGTCGGAGAAAGACAAATAAGATTTCACTCGTGGAATTTAAGAAACAAAACAGATGAACATTGGGGAAGGGAAAGAAAAATAAAATAAGCTAAAAACAGAGGGAGGCAAACCATAAGTGACTCTTAAATGTAGAGAACAAACTGAGGGCTGCTGGAGGGGAGGTGGGTGGGAGGATGGGCTAAATGGGGGATGGGCATTAAGGGGGGCACTTGATGTAATGAGCACTGGGTGTTCCGTATAACGGAAGTGATGAATCACTAAATTCTACTGAAACCAATATGACACTGTATGTTAACTAACTGGAATTTAAATAAAAATAAATAAGTAAAAAGAAAAGATTGTAGGACAGCACATCCACTATAATTCCACTTTGGTAAAACTTAGAAAAAAAAGGAGGCATAACCAAACATGCGTGTAGAAGGATGACAAAAAGACTTTTAGTTTGTTCCTCCGCGCCCCCCCCAAGTTTCCTAACTTTTCTTGCATATAAAATTAGAATTTAAATAGCCAGAAATCTAAAAGGAATTAATTTAAATCCTGCTTGCTTTCACTGATGTTTTTATCTTTAGTGTCACGGGTTTTGGGCTATTAAGAGATCCAGATTTTTAACTTAGCATTAGCAGTGTGACCTTGGGTAACCATCTTAACCTCAGTGGACCTCAGTTTCCTTGTCTGATAAAATGAGATACTGGGGGAATGAGGTCCCTTCCAATTTTAAAATGATTCTAGAATCCTATTCTAAATTGTCTGAAAAAAAGTGGACTATGACCTGAGGGACTCAGCATGGAAGTCTGAAGTCAAACACACTGTTACTTGCAAGCTTATTGACCTACCTATCTTTATCAAGTACAGATTATATTTTTAGGAAGCAGCAAAGCACTGTATTTTAGGGTCAGATCACTTGACAAAGGCTTAACGTTTTTCCTTCACCTTCCCATCTGTTAATCAAGTAACTTTTCTGGTTGGCCTCAGGCTCTTAAATGAATTAAAGATAATACACTTCATCTTTGCCTGTCACTTCGGAGCTTATCCCATTGTTTACGTTGTAATATTTGCTCTTCCTAAGAGGCATTATTATGTATTTCAGATAAGGATACCGATGACAAGTGACTTGCCCCATTCCCATTTGACTGTCAGTGGTAGAACAGAGGCTAGCTAGAACCCTGGACCTTGGAAGATGGAGCACTTTTGTATACATCCTACTACCTCTCTTTTAATGTTTTGTTTTCCCTAGTGCTTTACATTCCCTGATATGGCCACTTCCCTGAGAATAACTGCCAGGTTTCTCAGAATTTGAAAGCTGTAGGAGACCCTAGCAGTCCATTTCCCTTATTTAGAGATGGAATGCAACTCTGCCATTTTACAAATGAGGAAATTAAGGTCTGTAGAGGCCAAATGATATTTAAGGCCAATATATATAAAATACTGACAGAGCTAGGACTTGGACCCAATGCATTAGAAGGAAGTCAGAGATGATGTTCTTTTGGAGAATCAAGAAGTGATATTCTTTGAAAACGATTTATTTGAATATTCTCGCTGAAGTGCATGATAATCAGCCTTTCAGAGCAGTTATTGAGCATCTGCTGTATCAAGGCATTCTTGTTTTTTTAAAATTAGTTCTCGGAAGAATGGTACCCAACTAAAGAAGTGTGTTTTTTATTCGTGCAGATGGCTCTGTCCTTTCATTTAGGTACTGAATTATTAATTGGGCATTTTATTTTTGGCGTAAATAATGAGCAAGGCAGATTTTTACATTGTGAATTTAAGTAACTCTGCCTCCTTCCCTGCAAATGGACTGTACCCAAAGGTAGGATCTTTTATTCTTGTTTATTCTTGTTACTCTAGCATTCATATTGTTGACTTAGGCAGTTCTTTGAAGTGTTGTAAGTGGTTATTAGGTCTCAGACAACAGACTTTCTTAAATAATTACACTGAGTTTTTTATTGTAATTCTAGTTTAATTTTTAAATGTTCTATTTTATATAATAATACCTGAATACCAGAAAATACCAGAGATACAGACTTATGTTAGGGATAGCTCTGGATGTGGCTAGGTGTCCTAATGGTGAATTAGGTAGATGTCACATTAACCAAATACAAATGCAAAAACTTTTTGAAATACTGGACGTTGAACTCAGATGTGCTCTCAGCATTGCTTCATGCTTCCTACAAAACTTTGTACTACTGGAATGGCAAAGTGTTAACATTTTATTATAGATATTGATACAATTTTCATCAAAACCAGCAGCACTTCGAAGTCTGAGACCACCTTGTTTTATTCATTTTTGCATTTTCAGGACCTAACATAGTACCCAGTACATTTTGGTACTCAGAAAATGTTTAGATAGTACTGGTGTGGTATATCAGAACACCTCTGAATCAGTTGAGCCAGTTGTAAGGACAGAAAGCCTTAGGTCTTAAAATCTACTTCAAGTGAAATCAGCTTGAAAGAATGGTTAGTGACTTAACCACTAGAGTACCCTTGTTTATTGATGGATCCCTGTGTCATTAATGAAGTGATCAGTAGAAAGTAGGTTACCTCTGAACTATCTAGTGTAGAGTTTCCAGGAGAGATTCTATTTTAGTTCCACAGCCTCCCACCAATTTGTGATGGTGGCCTAACAAATAAAGAGAGCTTTTCTTATAACCTGTAATTGTTCCTGTTTCCCCCTCTTGTATCTAATAGATGTAATAGAAAATGTCATACATAAGCTCTGAAAACCAGTTTTTTCTTTCTTTAATGTAGGCAGTTATCACAACATCTTTGTAATTGAAAGGCGTGTTTTTGCAAAACCATTTTTATGTTTGCTGGTTCATTTACTATGTAAGTCCTCTGCTGTATATGTCATTTATTAAATCTTAGCCTCAAATGTAAATTTTCAATTTAAGGTGAGGCGGATTGAAGGACTTAGATGCTGCCTTAAAATGAAAATGACCTAAATTCTGAAATGTATTTTGTGTTTTAGCAACATTTATCAGTGTGTGTTTTTTTTTAATTCAATGAAGTATGAAGGATTATAAAGAAGAAAAAATGGCCCACAGTCTCATTGACAAGATAACTTTTGTTGATAATGTTTCTTCTCTGCATATATTACTAGGCAAGTGTAAGTACATTTGTTGACATTTTTTAAAAAATAGAAATAATACATACAAATGATAAGAAAAGTTAAACTGTATAAAAATAAAGTACTTTTTCTCCCCAATTTCTTGGGATCCTTCTTTGAAAAAAATTATACAAAATGTTTTATGCATTTTGCGCTTAGTATTTTGCTCTTTTTCTGGTTTTATATATCTTGGCATCCTTTCCATTCCAGCATATGCTGATCTGCCTCATTTTTGTACACCTCTACCGCATGGATTAGCCTATTTATTCTACCAGTTTTATATTGATACATATTTAGATTGTTTCCAGTTTTGTTGCAGTGTTACAGTAAACACTTTTGACATATTTTGGCATAGGATAATTTCTGAGCAGTGGAATCACTGGGGCTCAGAGTATATGCAATTTAAAATTTGGAAGACATTTTCAAATTTCCATCCAAAGTTTAGACCAGTTTTCATTTTTGTCAACAGGGAGTTAGCATACTTATTTTCCTGTACTCTTGTCTGTATTAAAAAACAGTTTTTTAAAATTTCTACTAATCCAGCAGGTGAGCTAAATAGTATTTTTAAGAAAGGGAAATATGGGGTTGCCTGGGTGGCTCAGTCAGTTAAGTGTCCGACTCTTCATTTCAGTTCACGTCATCTCAGGGTCCTGGGATTGAGCCCCACATCAGGCTCTATGCTCAGCAAGGAGTCTGCTTGAAGATTCTCTCCATCTTCTGCCCTTCTTCTCTCTCTCTCTCCCTCTTTCCCCACAAAAAAATAGATAACTCTTTTAAAAAAAAGAGAGAAATATGTTATTTTTCTTTTTAATAGTCTGTAGGATTTGAAAAATGTTGGAAAAACTAATAGTCTTATCTTTACTTCTTCTTTTTGTTTTACATATTAAGAGATGAAATTGGCCTGATCCCATGTCCTGAAGCTAGGTATAACCGGAGTCCCATAGTCCTGGTTGAAAACAAACTTGGTGTGGAGAGCTGGTGTGTCAAGTTCCTCTTACCATATGTCCACAACAAGCTCCTTTTGTACAGAACAAGAAAGCAATGGCTCAACAAAGATGGTGAGTATGAACTCTTTCCTCCTTTGCTTTTTAGAAACAGCATGGAATACAGGGGGAAGAACCTTCTCTGTGTTGGCATTCCTAGATTTTGGTTCTGGCTCTTTCATTCACTGCCTGGGTGGCAGCTTAACCTCTCTGTCAAATGAGGAGTTTGGACCTGTCAGTAGTTTTCACATTTTGCCTCCATAGTGATACGGGATCCCAGGCTACCTACCATAGCCTGGACAGTAAATCAGAGCAGTTCTGATTTTACCTTTTTATGTATCAGAGTTATTTATAAAATTTTATTTGAAGAAGACATCCTATGGCTATAAAAGAAAGTTGGAAAAATACTGAAAAGGACTCTAGTTCCTACGGTTCAGATTCTCTGGTTTCTAATCCTTTAGGAACTCTATAAGCAATAGAACTCATTTTGGTAGGAGACCAAATGGAATAACAGAGGCATGATGGTGGTAGTTACACTGTGACCCAGCTCAGTGATTTATGGAGGTGCTGTTGTGCTGTGAATCCCAGTGGAGCTCTGGCCCTCTGTGTCTTCTAACTATGCTGATATAAGCAAAAGAAAACCATACCAGCATTCACTTCTTTGGCTCCTCTGAGATAGTTCTTTGCCGCATGGGACAATCTGTATTCATTCTACCTGGTCTCTTTTCTTAGCTTTCCCCCATAGGCAGTATTAAGCCTCCATATGCACGAATTCCCTTTACTTTTTAGGTTTAAAAAAAAAAGAGTACTCATCCAAGACTCCAAGACCATGTTCTTAACTGTTTTTGTAAAGCTGCCCCTTCCCACATAGAGCCGTACCTTCCGAAGGGCTCAGTACGCCTGGAGGCTCGTTTTGAATAAGAACTTTGTTTCCTAGAGAATTTTAATTACCAGTTTGGTAGCCATTACCATGAGCCTACTCATACCAGAAGCTGTTCTAAGTACTGTGGGGATAAAAAGATGAATAATACATGTTCCTTTTACTCAAGAAGCTTACACTTGGGTGAAAAACAATTTCTTTGTGGAGTGTTGCCAAAGGCATGACATACTGATTTTCTTGTATTCCTCTTAGCATTGTCCTTAACATACTGTCATAATAGCACTTTTCCCTGTTTAGACCAGTAGAAAAGGAATCTGACTTGAAGATTTAATGTGAAATAGTTTCTGGTTTTTGTGTGTTTCAATCAGTCTTCTGATAATTATTTCTTATAATACGCCTACATTTATGGCATAGCTTAAGTTTGTGGCATAAATTTAAGGTGTAAGTTTAGCCATAAATTTAAAGGTAAGGATATTTATCCATTGTTAGGTCCTCTTTCATTCTCCCTTCCGTCACCCTAAGTAGATAGTTGTTTTTGAAACCTATAGTAAGTTTCAGCAACATTAAGGTATGAAATAATGCCATATGAATCCATCAAGGTTTTTTTTTTTTTGGCCAAATACAGCTGTATTGTGTATGTTCTGGCACACAAAAATATATAATTGAGCCAATATATAACTAGCTTGGGGAGGTGGGGAGATAGAGTGATGCTCTTGTAGTAGAGAAGAAACAGTGTAAATTTGTAAAATGTCAAAGGCTACTGTTAATGTTGTTTCAGATCATCATTTTTTGCCAATTCATGTATGCTAGCCTAGCCTGCCTTCTCCCTGCAGCCCTCCAGGTCTTTCTTTCCATTTCCCTGTGTCTTGTCTCTCTGGACACTGCACTGCAGGCTTTGCTGAGTCTCCTCATTGTGAAGTTTTAGTCTTGATAGGCCCAAGAAGACCCAGGCAGAAGATCACATGGTTAAGCTCACTCACACGAATAGCTAGCATCTAAATTTTGAATTCTGGTGCAACTGTGTGTGAGTACAGAAGCAACTTGACATTATTCTAACTTACCTCCTCATGGAAACAATTTTTAATTTCACTTTTTTGGTGGGTGGTGACAGCATAGTTTAGTGTAGTATCACATACTATTTAGGTTGTGTATTAACAGTAAAAACATGGAATGAATTTCTGATGTGACAGAAAAAAGATACCTGAAAATGCTGATTAACATAAGAGAATTCTGCCAGACTTGTGAACCAAAGCATTTATTACACAGAGGTGAATATTGCTAAGGAAAAAAAGTAAAAAATATTAAGAAAAAGCAGTTATTTTGTGAAAACGCTGTACCTTTAAAGCTGTTTTTGTAGAAAATATATATAAGAGCCAAGTGAACAAAGCTCTCAGTTTAAGAATTTCAGAAATGTCAGTGTCTGTGTGATTGATCATGCCCAAATCCTAGGCATCACCTAGGAATGTATTCTGTAACTGAAGGTGACCTTTATTCTTGGGATAGATTTTTTTTCTTTTTAACCAAACTGAATTCGTTCTCTCATTAATGTGCTGAATTCCTTAGATGTTTGGAAAGCATCTATACTGGTTAGAGTTCTCCAGAGAAACAACCAGAAAATTTTATATATAGGGAGAGAGATTTCTTGTGACAAATAGGCTGACATGATTGTGGAGGCTGAGAAGTCTCACAGTCTGCTTTCTTCAAGCTGGAGACCCAAGAAAGCCAATGATAAAATTTAGGTTGAGTCTGAAGGCCTCAGACCCTGGGGGAGCCAAAGGTTTAAATCCCAGTCCAAAGGCCAGAGAAGATTAGATGAGATGCCCTAACTCAAGCAGACAGACAGGAGGAAGCACAAAGGATCAAAGATCTCCTGCTTCCTCCTTTTGTTATATACAGGCCCTCAACAGATTGGATGATGCCCACCCACATTGGGGAGGGCAGTCTACTTCATGGAGTCCACTGATTTAAATGCTAATCTCACAGACACACTCAGAAATAATGTTTAATTATGTTTAATCTGGACACCCTGTAGCCAGTCGAGTTTAACCGTAAAACCAGAGTTAACCATCACAGCATCCCTGTTCATTACTTAGAGACTGATATTTTTTAAGTCTGCTGCAGTAGTAGCCCTATTTGGTTTGGGAGAGGAATGATACTGTAATTCTGATTTTTGAGAAATCCACGACAAAAACAAGAAGCAAGAGAGAAGTCCACAGCATTGGAGTCCTGACCGAGTAGAGCTCTGTCCCGCACTTGGACTGTCTCCAAGCATGTACTCCCATCGTTTTCCCTCGCTGCTCCCTCTTTCTCACAGCCTCTGCCAGCTGTGCCATCTTTAATGGCCATCTTCCATGCTTCGTGTCTTCTTTCTCACCTGGACAAATGTGATGATCTCTAGGCTGGTCTCTGTTTTCAGTCTCTTCTTCTGTAATCCATGTTCATCATGCCACCAGCCAATCATTTCAGACAGTACTTCTCAGCAACACTTCTTAGAAACACAGTTTGAAAGATGCTTTTCTGAGATATGGATCTGTGCATCTTATTTCATGATGCCTACAGGGTCAAGTTGGAGTTGAAACTCTGTGGTATAGGATTCGAGGACCTTCCCAGTCTGTCCCAGCCTTCATTACCAGCCTTTTCCTCTGCTTTACATTCAGCATCAGGGGTTGTATGTTCTCAGCTCCCAGACTGATGTCAGCCCACAGATAGGTTTTGTTTTGGCTTATATAATGTTTCTTAAACTGTTTTTAATAAGTTGGGTAAACATTTAAAGTCAGGATGAACTTCTAAAGTTCAGATGGAAATCTGGATCTGTCTTTACTTGAAAACTCAGAAGCGTTGGGTACATGAACTTCTGCACAGCGACAATTGGCTGGGGCTCCTAGCCTCTGCTTGTCTTGACTAGGTAAGCCTGTTCCAGTTTGCTACAACCTCCTCATGTCCTTCAGACACTAAGGCAGAGATCAGTTGCTGCTTATCACCAGGTTTGCTTTGCTACCTTTTTGACGTTCATTTGAACCCTAGAAGCATTAGAGTCTGCAGCATTTGATATACCTCCCAGCCACAGCACACTCTGTTCCATCCTCGGACTTGGCTGTGTCTTCCTGCTTTACCTGCATGCTTTTGCTGAGGCTAGGTTCACACCTCAGCCTGTCACCATTGTTGTGACTGGCAGTGTATGCACGCGCGCGCGCGCACATACACACACACACACACACACACACACACACACACACACACGAAGGCTGTTTGACTGCTTCAGGAAGCAGTAATTCTCTTCATTCCTACAGGAGTCTTTTATTTCGACTGCTTGCATAGTAACACTCACCACGCTTTATCATAGTTGATTATTTAAATATTTTCCTCAGGTAGATTGTGAGCTTATTAGAAAGAGGGATAATGGCTTGTCTTTCTTTATGTCCTCAGCACCTGTATGTTTTCAATAGACATTTGTTAAATACATAACAAGAGTTTGGTAAGCAAGAGGATTTAGCTTAGTCTGGCTATCAATTCAGTGACTGGATTCTGTAATAAAAGGGCCTTTCTGGTGTTTACTACATAGCTTTATCTCAAGTCTCTCTTCTTGTGGTCACCAGAATGTATTTTGGAGAATGAGAGATTAACCAACCCAGTTGACCTTGGATTTATTTCTAGATGCATGAAAACATACCTCTGTCAGAGACAGTTGGCAAATGAAGTGACCATTACCAGTGACTTCTGGCTTTGGGCCGTTTCTGGAATCCCATTGTGGCAAAGAAAGAATTGATTTTTCTGTGACTTTTCTGTAGCATCCTTTTGTCCTCTCCTTGTCACAGTTGGAATTTAGCTACTTTCCTGTGTATAATATGCCCTGATTCATTTTCCCTTTGTGATGTGATGATGAGTTAGTCATATGTCAGAGCGGTTTAACAAAGGAACATTCATTTGCTGGTATATGTTCTGGTATTTGTGAGAGATCTGTTTAATTTCAAGAGACCATAGGGATATCAGTAGGTCACATCTTCTGGGTAACAAAGAATATGGTATATGGTTGTTAAATGTAGAAGTAAAATAGTTACCATCAACTGTGGATCATACGTGTTTATCTTTTGATCTTGGTTCACTCCTGACTTGAAGAGGACAAAGTAATTGTAGACAGTGTGCTAGAGTGGAAAGAACATCTGCTTTGAAGGAAAATATCTGAATGTAGACTCAG